AGACAGTCCCTCCTGGATTGGCCCACATCGGTTTGTGTCTAAGTTAATAAAAACAGAGATATTTCTGCTTTAGTGAATAGAGAAAAAAGAAAAGGATGAAACAAGCAGACTGAGAAATTAGATGAAACTGACAAAGAAAACAAAAGGAGTGAAAGATAACAATAAAACCAAGTGTTCTGGGTAAAAAGGTGTAACAGTGAGACTCCTGCCAACCCATTAACACCAGGTCCAAAAACCTTTCATCTGAAGACAAATTCAAACATGAAATCCCTCAGCAGGTGTCAGGAAAGGTCATGAATTTACACGGATTACCGCCTCGTCGGCCGCTCTTTGTTCCTTCTACTCCTGTTTTTTTTTCCTAAACAGCACCGACAGACAGTCCAGGTCATCTCAGGTCCCAAACCTTAAACCATAATGTTTTGTTATCTGCCACCACTGTTCCCTTCAGGCTTACATTCCTGCAGTGATCCAATGAATCTTTGACAGACCCAGTTTATTCAGCATCAGCGAGTGCATGGACAACAACACAGTAGTTTTTAACATCAGAAACAGAAAGGCTGATGGGAATTCTTTGATTGGCAGTGTGTACCACACATGTAGAAAAACTACAATTAAGTTGAGCTGTTAAAACATATGGTATCAAGACAAGTTTAAAACTTAAACCTAGTTCAAAACTTTATTCAGTAATCACTCCCATAACTATTCACGGTAGCATTTTCAGTTTATAAAGTATTTTTATGAGTGATGTATCTATCAGTTGTAGTGTTTTTAACTGTATCACAATATTATTAATGACTGTAAAGTGAAGTTTTAGCTAAGAAGTGTGTATTTGATACTTGATATTTGTTTCATCTTTGTATTTTGTAAATGATAAAACCTTAATATATTTAAATATTCAGATTATAAAGTTGAGTGTTCTGCAGAGGTTGCTTAGTGGTTAAGGAAGCGGACTTGGGTCCAGAAGGCTTCAGGTTCGAGTCCACCATCTGCTAAGTTACCAGTGTCCCCACACACTGCTCCCCCAGTGCTTAGAGCTGCCCAATGTTCACTTTGGTGAAGGGTTGAAAGCAGAGGTCAAATTTGGTTGTGTGCTGTCACAATGACAAGTAGTTCACTTTCTTTCCTTCCTCTCCTTGTTGCAGGTGTCTCCAGATCTGCAAAATGAGGTGCTGATGAGTCTGTTGGAGACTGACCCTGATGTGGTAGACTACCTTTTGAGGAGAAAGGCATCTCAGTGAGAAAAAGACACGCTGAAACATTTAGGTCTTGTTTGTTTTTTCTCTCTTTTTCAAACTCCATCCTCCCACTTCACACAGGAGTCCTGACCTGCTACAGCCAGAGGAGCCCTTCACTCTAAGCGAGCGTCACTCCTCTAGTGACTCTAACAAGGTGTCAAGTGGGGAGGTGTCCCCCTATGACAACAACTCCCCAGTGCTGAGTGAACGCAGAGGCGAACCAGGAAGTCCAGGACCAGCTGATTCGTGGAACGCCAAAGGTTGGCCAGCTCATTCAAACTTTCACAATAAAGCTTATTTGCATTACATGTGTCATATGTATGTGCTTTTATTTATTTTGCAACTAACCTTCCTTCAGATTCTATATCTGAGGAGCATGCAAACATCTGGGGGACATGGCACAGTACTCTAAAACCAACACTCAAGGAGCAGAATTACACAGGTAAACAAAGCAAAAGTAATTTGTTGCTAATTGACACCTGTGTTGCCAGGTAAATTATTTTTAGCAAATTAACTAGCTTTGCAAAAGTGTGGTTGTAGTTTTTAAAATATCAACCTGGAAATACACAGCCACCTCCCTTGAACTCACATAGTAAACTAAAATGAACTTCTAGTTTTGATTTACTCACAATTTATTTACTCAGTGTGAAACCTTGACCTGTTTAGTTGAACACAACCCATACAACAATACTCAGGAATTGAAGAAAGACTTGAAATTCTTCAACAGCTGAGTTTTTTGTTTATATAGCCATCTGCTGCTATCTAGTGAAAGAGTATTTGATTGTTCTACTCGTCACACTGGCATAGACGAACCAATCATTTATTTGCAGTGAATAAATATTAGTTCTGTTGGATCAAGGAACACCTGATGATCTCTCACGGCACACTAATGTGCAGCAGTACAATGGTTGGGAATCACTAGACTAACCTCAGAGGTGTTTGTCATTGGTTATTTCAGCCATGTCAAGAGCACCACCTACAGGGGAGGGTTGGGTGTCACATGCTCTGTGTTCACAAACTAACAAACCTGCTTTTAAGCCATTGTTTATTGCATTTTTAAGTTAATCATCTACGCGGAATAACCACCACTGATTAAAGTCAGTGTTCTGTCACCAGGTTCCCATGGCAACATGTCAGAAGGAAGCTCCCGCAGCTCACAGGAAGGTCTGGACGGACTCGATGGCAGGCATCAAGCACCAGTGCATCGGACCATGACAGCCCCTGACTGCAGATGTCACCCTCCTGTCACTAGAGTGTGCTCTGGGCCCAACTCAGAATCTGGACGAACACACTCACAGCTTAAGATTTGCCCCTCTGCCACTTCTCAAATCAACAGCACTCAGAGCCCACAGCAGCTGGGGCGACACAGACTACAAGGTGTAGCGACTGCTGGGCCCCATCGTGGCCCTGCTGCGGTGTTTGATGGACGTTCGCCACCTCCTTATAATACCCACCATCTAGTGGCTGGTTCTCAGAGTTCTCCTCAGCTGTCAAGGGCTCAGCTGCCCCCTCTGGTGCAGGGGAGGTCGAACAGCAGGGCACAAAGTAAGTCAAGTAACTCGACAACAGACGCCCAGTTGATGCCACACAGTCCAGAATGGCAGGACTGGCAGAGGGATCGCTGGCAGATCTGGCAACTGCTTTCCTCGGACAATACAGATGCACTGCCAGAAACACTGGTGTGATGTCGCACCATAGACTCGGTTTCTTTAATCTCCGTAGAGTTTCTGCTCCGCTTGCCAAATTCAAGAGCAGCCAAACTACCAAGAACCTCCGGCTTTTCTCCTGAGTTGTCCTTCGTCCTCTTCTCCACATATTGTATACTAAACACAGCATTGTTTACCTGTGCAGCCTTACACAGACTTCTACATCCAAGAACCACTAGTATTTTCTTTTCTTTTGTGTGGTTGTTGAAAGTTTGCTTCTGCTGCCAGAACATCTGTTTTGTCCATTGTGACTAGAGAGTTGAGAGCGTAGAGAAATGCCAATAGGAAATACCTCAAAAGATATTCTTTTCTAGAATCCTACCGTGTGCACGTGTGCTTCTATAAGGAAGTTCATTCAAGGTCATCACTTTCTTTTCTTCTCACCTTGAGACTAGGATGTATTCATTAGTAACTGCTGCTATTTGTGGACGTTTCCTGTGCATACAGCCACATCTGTACACACATACAGTACATGTACATATGTATATACACACAAACTGCTGACAAAGGTAAACAATATATATATGTTTGTAAATGGACATTGGAAGTCTTTGCCAATATATCTTAAAAGTGTATGTCAACCCATTAACAGACTTGGTCTCAGTATTTTGGGTTATTTTGTCTTTAATATTGAATGTAAAAAAAGAAGAAGCTTTACATATGACAAAACTGCTTCGTAGCACTTAGCTGTAAGTTTGCTCTTTTGCTGACGTCACCATCTGTTCTACAGAAACAAATTGCCAAAGTATTTTTTATTTTTGTTTTTAAAATATAGGATATTTATCGTACAGTTGAATTAGGATGAAGGACCCAGGAGGTAAATTCCAATTCCCTAAATTGGAAAAGGAATAACAAATAACACACCTTCAGAGGTTGTTTTTAGAATCTTTACAGATATTTTAAACATGACGAAAAACACATTTGCTACTACACCATTACATCGAAATAAAAAACGACACTTTCATTTCTTACCATAAACTGTAATAGTAATGTTTGACAGAGTTCTGGCTCCATCTATTGTCCAACTATAGGCACCAGCATGCTGCTGCCTCCCACGGTTCAGTGTTGCTATGGCACCAAGCTGCAGTCAAGGCAGCTTCAAAGGCTGTGATAATAAGCACCTTCATGTGAAAATGTATTAAATATATATTATAAAAAAGACGTCGTCATTTTAACTCTGTAAAGTTTCTCCACATATTGCTCAAGGTTTATATTGGGATTTCGTTTTTATTTGTCGTGTCGTTTATTTTTGTTGAGTGTTGTAAAATATTAATAAAATATATCAATTTTATATCAAAGAAGGATGAAAAAAAGGTTCAAATGAACAAAGTGATGCTGAAGGTCAAACTACAGCCGTGTATTTCTTGACTAAAATCGCGATGTGCGTTGAACTTGTTTTTATTATTTTAAAGTTTATTTTAATTTTGGTCGGATTTACTGGGTCCAAGTTGATTATCTTGCAATCGCTTTTGTACTGGGTGTCTTTATCAATATGAATAAATATGGTCAAATTTAAACCCCTTGTTTTTCTTGTGAGTCATCCAGTTTTATCCCAGGGATTCTGCAACGAGTCTTTACGCCGCTAGGTGGCTCAGCAGTGCCGTTTGTGCTTTGGCTGATTTACGTTTTTCACTTTGATCTGTCCTCCAGGATGTATGGGGCCCTCTCACTCTAATTATTGTTCGCATAAAGAAAAAAAAAGTTATTTCTAAAGTCTCTCCCTTGGATATGTTGACGGATGGAGGCACGGTCGGCGCGTCCACTGTGCACAAACTCCTCATTACAAGTGGTAAAATGTCAGATGACTCATCATTTCTAAAATAAAGAATGAGCAGCAACGTATAAGAGAGTTTTCCCCCAAATGGCAGGCTAAAAAAAGAAGAAAGTGACAGGCATGGAACCTAGTACTATTCCTAATTTTATTTTAGAAAAAGAACAAAACAGCCATTTACATTAAACGCAACAGTGATATACAAATACTTTACGTTAAATTATTAATGCAACTCAATTTTACCCCAAAGTTAAGACGCTGTTAAAATCGTTTATGTGTAATGTAATGCCCAAATTGTGTCTGTAGAGGTCAACCATGAGCCTTGTAAATCTTTTTCAATAGAGAAGTAATTTTCATATTCTCTCTGTGTGTCTCTCTGTGTCACTGCAGCGGGTGATGAGGTAAATTAGTTACTGAGGTGGCAAAAGGACCATAACCTTTACCAAAAAAAAAAAAGAATCTTTTCAGACTGAGTTCTTCTCGAAGCATTTGGAGAAAAGGGATGTTGGAGGAGAAGGATTAAAAACATGGTAGAAATAATATTAACCCCCTCACAGATCTGCAGAGAAATAAATTAACAGCCTGCAGTCTGTTAAACAAAGACTTGTTTGGGTATTTGTACGGTGTATGAGCAGAGAGAAAATGTGTCAGCAGAGAGATACAAATGAAAAAAGTCTATTTTTCCACATTTTATCTGTCAATAAACACACATTTGTGACGTTTTTAATTCAAAATTTTCTTCTTTTTAAGTCAGCAAGGTTAGAACACTTCTCTCCGTTCCTGGACTCGTCATTCAACTTGTTCACAGTGTTCTCTTCAAAACAAACGGGTCACTTCCTGCTAATTAATTGTGATGACTTGAGGCACTTTATGTCAGACAGTGTTCTGAAGTCTACCTTCTCTCTCTCTCACTCTCTCTCTCTCTCTCTCTCCCTCTCTCCCACTTTTTTTGTTACAGTCCTTTGTCTTTTTGTCCGTTACTGGACGCACGCCTGGTTTTAAATAGAATTTTGTGGAGCATGACAACAAAACAAAGCTGCTTTATTTCAGCAGATAATGACTTGGCCCCGGAGTAGCATCATGCAGTTGGCCAGGCTTAAAGACAATTTGCCAGAGGAGAGCATGGGCACAAAAAGGTATGCATGAACTCCTCTACACGGACCAAACTGTCGAGACACAAAGAGTTCAGCCCCCGTGTCCTGAGGGGTGAGGATTGAATGTTGACTTCACTGAGTTTCAGCGTGTTTTTGGTCGACTAGGTGCAGCTTGAGGTAATGCACGTCCTGTGAAGCCTGTAGCTTTGTATGCCCCATATGCACAAACACATGGACACGTGCATGCTGCGAGGAGTTTTAAACCCACAAGACCCTCATTAGCAGCTGCAGCCACTTCATTCTTATGCACATTCTCACTCAGTACAAATACTGGCCTGGAGATAGAAATGTTGTGAAAAAACAGAAGTCTAGTTATTCCATCTGTGAACCATTGCTGAATAAACCACATCAGTGATTCAACAGCAACAACAAAAAAATTAAAGACAATCACCATCACATCCTCCCACCCGTATTGCCTAGTTTTAAAGTTTTTATTTTTTGGAGATTTTGCCATTAAAGTTTTTCAAACCTCCACCCATGCTGCACCATAGATTTACATAAAAAGAGAAATCAAAGTTCATTCAGCAGAAGGCAACTATAAAAGTTCCTTTTCCCATTTAAAGTAAGAGCAGGAGTTCACAGGACACTTCAAAATGTCATTATGTCCGGACTGCTGATGTTCAAAAACATTCAAAGACCCATTGCGTTCAGGAATATATGTGAAGCTGCTATTCCAAAAAGTCTACACATATGTAGATTCATTTGGTGAAAGCAACTTTTATGCGAGTTGAACCGCGACTCTCGACTTAGCGTTAGATTTTGAAGGTGTGCTTATCAGCTTTGCATTCACACATGAACAAGAATTCACATTTGGGGAAGGAATAATGAGTGTTGACCGCAGCTGGTCGACACCACTGGTGGTCTGATAGACTGGGTAACACTCTGCTTTTACTCAAGTGCCAAAGACCAAGGACTTCTCCAGTGGTCAGGAAAAAAATAATGGTCGAATTATGGTCATGTTCATAAATAGCAATGAGCTTTCTCCGAGGGAGCTACGACTTCATGGATGAGAAAATCGGTGCAAAAGAAGTGAAAGGAGCAACATTACACAAACAAATAAAATTATACAGAAGTACGGAAATGGTAAAGATGACGTAAGGATTGTATTAGAATTGGTGTAACTGCAGAGAGAGAGAGTGTAAGGAACAAATGAAGTGTTTCACATTTTCACTCATGAACGCCGCCACTGCTGCTGCTCCGTGACTGGAAGACATTTTCCAAACCGACCGTGACATACATCTGCCCTGAAGAGCAGAAAGGCACTGACACGATGCACACACACAAGCATGCACTATGTATAGGCTTTACAACTTAACAACCATACTCAATGTGTTATTTACTTTCTAAGTGGATTGATAACAAATGCTCTACATCGTTTTCCCAGCTGCCAATTTTGGTCTTGCTTGCAGAGCAAATCGATGCATTAAAAAAAAAAAAAAACGTGTGAAAAGACAAATGTGTTAAAGGGCTGTTTCATGTACTTTATTTTAGGAGACAAATAAATATCTTTCTTTCTTGAAGCATTTCATTTGCACCATCTCTTTGGCACCTGTTTGAAACTCAAACTGACCGACGTCGAGCAACCTAACGGGTCATTACACCAGCCGTCGAGTCACCATTTTTGTAATAGGATCTATACATTTACTGCAGAAAATAAATGAATATTGTTTCTATACAAATGTATATAAACAATTATGACACAATAAATACATTCTCATAGGCAAAGCACACAGAGAGCTGATCGATTCATCTGACTCCTTTCCTCTTTCCAAAATTCTGTTCAAAAACAAAATATCCAAGAACCTTAGAAAACTCAGTGTTTTACAACCGGGGTCGCGATCTTGTGTGGCGTCACTTGAAATGTCAAGTAATTGATAATGGATATAAATCAAGTTCAAATAAAATTCTCTTCCTGTGCTACTCAGTATTTGCAACACAGTATAACACATGTTCTCAAAAACTATTCCTTGATAAAAGTTTTTCTTCAATCGCCAGAAATGTGTGATGTCAAAATGGGATTAAAAGCCAAAAGAATGTTGGTAACCACTGAGTTAAAGGCTCCTTTAAAATCCAAAAATATAAATAAATAATAATAATAAAAAAAAACTATAATTAGTGCGTAGGTTTGATAGGCAGTATCACTTGTGTGATAAAGTTTGGGGACAGACATTCTGTCCATTGACAACTCCTGGGGCGTCCGTCTCCCTTTAAGGTCACGCTGAATGTCACTGTTAAATCCACTCCCCTCGTTTCTCCTATAATCAATGTCCAATCAGCTCCACATCTAATTCAGGGATGATTAGGCTGCCAGGTTCACTACGCTCTGCTGCACAGATAATACACTGATTGAGAGTGAGGGATCCTCGCCTTCTCTGTTGATATTTCTGCACACACACACACACTCACACTCTCAAAGTCCATGCCTAATTACACCTTATGAAAAGATATTAAGGGAAACCCACTAAAAGGCATGAAGCATCAAATGTCAAGTTCATTAAAAATCTGCTGCCAGTGTTTGAACCCTTTTGTAATAACTGGGTTACGCTTGTTAGGCTTAATGCAGATACTTCTTAATGCAGATACTTCTTAATGCAGATACTTCTTAATTACTTCTTAATGCAGTACTTCTTAATGCAGATACTTCTTAATGCAGGTCTGATGATTTTTATTCATCACTCACACATTAAGACGTCTGTAAGGTCCATATACTGGAGGTTCGAAGTTCCAACATCCGATTGTAAAAAGTCCCCAATAAAAGTATGTGCTAAAGTCATTAAGGTTTGTTCCAGAGCCTCTGGCAACAGTGTGAGATGTAAATCTGTGACAAATCACTCAGCACAGATATGATTATAGGAGTGCAGTGGCTTTAAAAATGCCACAGAGATTTGAGGTTGTGGAGGTAAAGGTTTTATTTATTTTTGTTTTTTTGTCTAAAGTTTAGTTTTGGGAAAAGTCCACTCCACTGTGTTTTTGAGTCTGAGTCAGAGGAGTGAATGAGTGAAGGATGAATAATGGAGGTTGGGATCGGGTTGTTTGGTGAAAGCCCCTGCGCAGCTCAGGGTACAGCAGAGGAGACTTTGTGAAATATTGATTCCACACTTAAAAGTTGTTGTCTGGATTTGGCTCGACTTCAAGGACATGAAGCGGGGATTTTCCTGGGTTTTACCGCTTCCTTTTTTGGATCAACAAAGGACATTTGGAGCCACGGTTGACATCATCTCAGACAGGGTTTAGCCACGAGGTTTACCAACGTACAGAACTATCATTTTGAACAATACCGTCTTAGAAGAACCCTCTTATGTTGAAGCTACTACTGTGTTTGAGTTTCAGTGGGATGACTGTGTAAGCACCTTCATTAGAAGGTATTGAGGAGGAGACGGAAATGAAGTGGACTATCTTTGTTACGTTTTTGTGCAGGCAGGACCCAAAAATGCAGCACAAGGGAGACTCTAGATACAAGAACCAGGCGCAAAGAATCAGGAATTTCACAGAGGGAAAAACCCACAGCATGGGCATGTACATAGCACAAGTAAAAGTAGAAGCACAGACGTCACATGAAGCTCATGGAAAACCAAGCTTGAACACAGAACATGGACAGCAAACTCAGAACAGACACTACCCAACAACCCCTGACCACCACAACATGACTGACATACACTGAGCAGACAAGGACTGACAAAGAGAGGTATATATACCCAAGGCACCAGGTGACACCAGTGAGACTGATGACAGAGACAGGTGTGACTGATGACACTGATTTCCACAGCAGACTCAGACAGAAGGAGAGGAAGACAGTCAGACCAAACAGTTTTAAATTTCTGCTGCATATTAGAGCCGTAGTCAGCCAAAACCAGTGACTAATCACTTTTTTTGACGTCTCGGCTCCTTCATCAGAGCAGGCTGTGAGACATAACTGTTTTTACAGCTATGCTTTTTTTAATCTAGCAAACATTTGAGGCCAGTCAGTGAAAGTAGAAAAAATATAATTGCACACAAAAACTGCAATTTACTGAATGGGTATTGTGCTGTTATT